GTTGATTGGTGGGTTTCATTGCACAATCAATCAGCTTCTGAAGCTCCTTCTTCATTGGGGAATCCCCAGAAGCTGAAATCTGGAGATTTCTCTGTAAACATTTATGGTATTAGAGAAGAATCCTATATTTTCCTTTCCCTAGTAGAAAGGAGGATGGGATCAGAGAAGGTAGGAGAGTTTAAACATGGCCACTGATGTTCTGGAAAGAGAAAAGGGGAAGGAAGGGGGCTGAGTGCTCTCAAATTCAGGTTCTTCTCTGTCTCCATTATGCCACCTCTCCATGACTGCAATCTCTTTAGAATTAGTCAAATAGAGCTATTCTTTACTTCCTAAAGGGAGAAACACAGTGTGGAAGAAGATACTTGGGGGTCCCTCAACTCTTGCTTTAATTATAGTTTCCAACAGTCCTTGTTTTCAATGCCACACTTTATCCCTGCCTTTATTGGCACCTGAATGTTGCACTTAGGAGTCTCTTAGGAATTTTGCAGGCCACATGGATTGGTCTCTCAATGATACTTTCCCTTTCATCCCCTGCCAGATAGACACTTTGAGCTCAGTTTCCTTTCCTCTGCTCTACCAAGTCAGTTGCCAATCCTTGATCTGCTTTTCACCTTAAAAAATTGTTTTAAGTGGTACTAGGGATTGAACCCAGGGGCATTCTGCTACTGACTTACATTCCCAGCCTTTTTGGCTTTTTAAAACTATTTTGAGACAGAGGCTTGCTAAGTTGCCCAGGTTGGCCTTGAATTTGTTATCCTCCTGCCTCAGCCTTCAAGTAGCTGAGATCATAGGCATGTACCACTGCACCCAGCTCATCTTGTAAAAATTTTTGAAATCTCTTTTCCACTTTTATCTGTTCCAGCTATCTTCATCATTGTGTTTCTTCCTTTTTATCCCCACTTTTATTCCTTTACAGGTGAAAACTAGGATTTGGTGGAAAATCCATTATGATTTACTGCAAGTCTGTCCACTTCCCAAAAGCACAGAATTTTTTCAAGAAGCATCAGCTAGCTGGTTTTATCCCTTTTATTGAAATATTCTTTGTTCTTTTCTCTCCTTTGCCCCTTGGGGAAACTCCCACATACATCAAGGTCTTCTAAGACAAAACTGAAAAGAAAAACTTGGAGCATTTTACCACATTAGCTAACTCTTTCTAGCTCTGGGATTTGGGTAAGATGACATCTTTCATTTCTTGTCAAAAAAAATTTATACATCATTTGTGAGCTACATACAGTTTTTATTTATGGCTTTTGATCCTTCTCAAGTGTAATCTGATTCAGAAATATCCTTTCCAAATGGGCAAATGGTTAGACATATTGAGTCTGACACATTATGAGCTAGACAGGGAAAGGGGCTGGGTAAATATGAACAAATATCAGTGAGTGGTAACAAATAATAGAAATAATAGGACTTCCTATGGTGACTTCCAGAAGTTTTCTGTGAGTTCCAACACTGTCATCCAGGACAAGTGCAAATTCAGACAGAGACTCAGATAAGAGAGACTCCAGGAAGATCTTCCTAAGGAATTATAATTTTATTTTTGGTACCAGGGATTGAACTCAGGGATACTTAACCATTGAGCCACATCCCAGCCCTTTTTTGTACTTTAGAGACAGGGTTTTGCTGAGTTGCTCAGGACCTTGCTAAGTTGCTAAGGCTGGCTTTGAACTCATGATTCTACTGTCTCAGCCTCCCAAGCCACTGGGATTACAGGCATGCACCACCACACCTGGCTATGAATTGTAATTTGAATTGAGAGTTCAAACAAAGGGACCAGAAGACACAACTGCTTTACATTTCTAGGAGCAATCTTGGCATGTTCAGGGAACCAGAAGAAGGCCAGTAGACCTGGAACATTGTAACAAGAAGAGAGTTTTCAGGTGAGAACATGTGATCAGAGAAGTCTGCAGAAGCCAGATTAAGTTGAGTTTGTAAACCCTGATGAGAGTTCAGCTTGTGTTCTAAGTATATTGGGAAGTCATTGGAGGACTTCAAGCAAGAAAATGATCGAGCAAATCTATGTTACAGAAAGATCACTCTGGTGAAGGATAGTCTATTGCAATATAGATAGAAATAGCAAGACCAAGATGGTAAACTGTTGCTAAAATCCTGGTGAGAGATGATAGTGGCTTGGGATTTGGGAGAAGTGAAAGAGATGGAAAGAAGTAGATAGATCTGTACTATGCTTATGGTAGTAGAACCCACAGAACTGCTTATTGGATTGTATATGAGGAGTAAAGTCTGATGTGATCCTATTTCTAGTTGGTAGTCTTTTGAATGGTTTCCCAATTACTGAAATAGTACACTTCTAAACTCTAGGATTGTGTAAGTGCCTTGTGTAACTCATGTGGGGATTTACTGACAATTAAATTCTGTACAATACAAACAGATAGAAACAATTATTTCATTGATGATCTCACCCAGTATCCCAGTTTTGTGCCTTTAAATAGCATCTATATAGCTAATGACTTCCACACTTAAATCTTGAAATGGACCTCTTCCTTGAACTTCAGACTCATAGCCCAAATTTCTCACTTCCCATCAAAGTGTAACATAGCCCAAACTGAACTTGGGGTCTTGATTCTCAATATTTACATCCTGCAGTCTTTCTCATCTCAGTTAAGGCAGTTCTATCTTTTCAGTTGCTCAAGCAAAAGCCTTGAAGTCATCTTGAATTTTTCCTTTCTTACATACTATATACAGTCCTTTAGGAATTCCACATTCTAAATACCTTCGGAGTTTGTCACTTTCCATTGCCACCACCCTCAGTCTAAGCTACCATTACTCCTTGTGTGGATTACTGCAAGAGACTACTAGCTGTCCTTCCACTTCCACCTTGACTGCTATATTCTACTCTTAGTATTTCAGTTAATATCCTCTTTTATAAATGTCTTAGGTCCTATCTTGGTCTGTTCAGGCTGCTACAACAGAATACCATAAACTGAGTAGCTTAGAAATATATATATATATATATATATATATATATATATATATATATATATATATATTTACAGTACAGGAGGCTGGGAAGTACAAGATCAAGGAGCTCTTACATTAAGTATCTAGAGAAGGACCACTTCCCAGCTTATAGATGGCTCCTTCTTGCTATGTTTTCACATGGCAAAAAGTGCAAAGGAGCTCTCAGTGGTCTCTTCTATAAGGACACTAACCTCATTCATGAGGTCTCTGATCTCATGATCTGAACACCTCTCCCCAAATGCCATCTCCTAATATCATCACATTGGTGATTATATTTCAGCATATGAGTTTCCAGGGGATATGATCTTTCAGAACATTGCAGGTCCCCTAACTATTCTGTACAATATAGTCAAGTGGCTCTTAATTTTCCTCAGAATAAAAGTCAAAGGCTCTATATGATCTCCTTCTCTGACTTCAGCTTCTACTCAGAGTGTTAGAAAATGCTTTCTTTAAGGCTCCCTGCTAAAGGAAAGCTTCTCAGAAGATATCTTTAATTGATTGAGTTTTAGTTCTTCTCCCCAAATATACACAAATGAAAGAAATAATGGTCCTACATTTTGGCTACAAATATTTCCATAAACAGAGCATGTCCTTTAAGGAGTTGAAATGATGAGTAAGACAAAATTTAAAGGGTAAAGAGTGGTAGGGGGTGGCAAATTGGAGCTGTATCCCAGAAGCCTTGGCCAAGAAATGTACAGAAAAGAATTACAGAATTCCTGTTCCCCTCCTCAGATCACTCTGTTTATCCCACTTTGTTTAGTTTGATGAGTCTATGTTATATTAGACTATAACATTAATTTGTTGGTGCTGATTTTTATTAGTTTATAAATGTGAGCTATTATTTTCTTACCATGTTTTGAAGAACGAAGAAAAATCTGACTTATTATGAGTGTTATTTTAAAGGCAGGTGCCTGGAACAGAGTGCTTAAAAGAATGTCTTGGTGATGTTTGTCATTTCCTTCAAAAATGGTGTTACATGATTAATAGATAACTGGCTTTTAAAACTGACATAATTTTTTCTAGTTTAGGATCAGTGGTATTGAGGTATTGTACTAAGAAGTATTTAGACAATGTTTAGGTCATTATAGCAATTGAATGGAAACTACTGTATCTTGATGGCCAAAACAAAGTTAAGGATGAATTTTAGCCAGAGTCCATAATTAAGAAATAGTTGTCACAAAAATATATAAATCATGCAAGTAGTCTAAAAACTATTGGTTATTTTGAACCTAGACATTTATGGTGCATGATAATGATTTGTTAATTTTTTCAAAATGAAAATGTACTTTTTCTGATTATAAATTTAAAACAATTCACATGATACATAAAAGTGTAAAGAAAAAGCCAAAATCATAATTTTTCTTTCCAGAGATAGCTGTTCTTATGTAAGCCTATTGTTAGAACCAGATTTTTTCTATGCCTTTTAAAATAAATACAAACTTAAAATAGGATCATAACTGTATGTACATTTTATAACTTCCTTTCTGTTCAACAATATACCCCAAACTTATTTCTGTGATAGCAAATATGGATCTAAATAAGCCCTTTTAATGGCTATATAACAAATAATAAGGATACCTTTTATTTTTCCCAAAAATATACTAGTAGACAAAACTAATCTAGGCTTGTTTTAAAGATTTAAAAGGTATTAAGAAATATAAAGACATTTTATTTTACTAGCATTTGATGCCAACCATTAAACTAAAAAGGCCTTCAAATATTCTTAAGAAAATATAATGAGGATCTTAATTACTAAGTATGGAAATTTGTTTCTTTGACAACTCTAGCACATGTTTATTGAATGCCTATTAAGAACCTGCACTGATCTAGGTGCTAAGAATACTTTGGCAAATTAGATAGGTGAGACCCCTGCTCCCACAGAATTTATATTCTTGAAGATGGTGAGTAGATAATAAACTAAGAAAAATAAGAAAAATATCAGATACTGAAATATACATGAGAATGTAAACTGGCATTTGAGTCCTGAATTCTGCAGACTAAGTCAAGTCATTTATTTGCAGGTTTGAAGATAGTGAACATCAAATAAATTATGAGTCATTTTTCTCTGCCCTGAACTGGAGAATGAATCCAATGCCTGAACTGTCGGCCCCATCATACCTTAAAGAGGTAAATAGCACCTGTTTTTAAAACCAGCTGTGGATACCTCCTTTGCATTTTTTTAATTTATAGCATTTTTATTCATAATAGCCCAAATTAGAAACAACTCAAATAATATTTATTAATAGGCACTATCTTGCATTTTTAACATCCTGTATCTTTAAATTATTTTTCAATGTAAAATATCAACATCAGTGCTTTTGGAAAGAGTGTTTATGTGTTTCTTGGTATTTATGTTAAAGGCTAATTCACTTTTCTTGCTGAGCAAACATCTGTTCTCTAAGAGCATGACTTTTATGCAGCTGAATTTTTTAACCTCAGTTGCTTCCAATTATATAGAAAAAGGGATAATAGTTTACAGTTATAAATAGATATAAACACTGTTATCAGAGGATTCTGGTAACATCATTATAAGCCACAAGAGCAAATCTCAAATGGTGCCTGTCTTGAATCCCCAGCATAACTGTGGCTGTACACACAGGTTTGCCATGTGAGACAACAGAAGATGGAGGTGCACATTTTATGGCGGGTCAAATTTAAAATAAAAACTCAGTAGAAAACTGCTTGGTTATGGAAAACAAGTTCATGTGATCAGATGGTGCTCTCAACATTGTGGAATTGTCTGAATTCTCTAAGACCTCTTTGGACCAATTATCTTTAAGGAGTGGGTGAGTGGGTGGTGGTTTGTTTACATTTTAACATGCTCCAGAAATTGATTTTCTTGGGAAAGGCCCTTGATAAAGCAAATGTTATGTGGTTGATACTGCCAGAAAGGAGGTATTTATTCCTGCTGACCAGTTCATTCTGGCCTGAGCTGATCTAGTGCCCCTGGGAGTTCCTTCAGGCATGCAACTACTCTGGAGTTTCAAGGGCAGCCTTAGAACTTCCAGATGGTTGAGGGTCAGTGGTGGCCTTTGGAGTTGAACAGAACTGGAGTTGATTTCTGTCACTGTCACTTATCTAGCTGAGTGACTTCGAATCAGGTAAGTTACTTATTTTATTCATTTATAGATTTAATCCTCAGATAAATCAGAATTAAGTGTCCACTCTTAGCAGGTTCTCTGCTTTATGCTGGTGTCTAAAGATAAAGGTCATCATTGCTATCCTTGAGGAACCCACTGCTGATGAGGAATCAGTACACTCATGATTTTATGGATTGATACAGCTGTGTGCGTGCATGTGTGCACATGTGTGTTGCTGGGGATGGGGGGTTGGAATCCTGGGCCTTGTGCATGCTTGGCAACCACTCTGCCATTGATCTACATCCCCAGCCCAAGAAGCTGCTTCTAAATCAGGCTAGTGGACAGGAAGTATTCTTGGGGAGGTAATGCTTGTCAGTTCAGTGATGAGTAGTAACAGTAGCAAAGTAGGAAAGTGATGTGATATGGAAAAGGCATTCTCAACAGAGCTCTCTGGGACATGGGGCAGACTGGTACTTGAACAGAGCCAGGAAGAATTGGTGTGACTGGAGTGAAGGCACATAGGGAGGAGTGAAGGATGACTGGAGTTGCCTACAAATGGGTGAGGTTTGAATGTTGTCTTGAATATTATCTGGAGACCACTAACAAATATGTATTTTTTCATTGTAATTTTTTAAATTAATTATTTTAAAATGATACATATTTATGGGGTACATTGTATTAATTTGATACATATATATAATATATAATGACATTCAGGGTAGTTAGCATTTCCAAGTCCTTAAACATTTTTTAAAATAAATCACTTATTTATTTTTGCAGTGTTGGGAATCAAACCCAGGGCCTTGTGCATGCTAGGCAAGAGCTCTACCACTGAGCTACATCCCTGGTGCTTAAATAAATAAATAAATAAATAAATAAATAGAATATATATGTGTGTATGTATATATATGTATTATTGGCAAATTTTAAGAAAGAAAGTGACATGATCAGGTGTGCCCTTCACAGGGAGCTTGCTCTGGCACGGTGGTAGGTAGACTGGACAAAACAGGTAAAGACAGGCAGATCCAATGTGAGATTTTTGGCTATTCTGTCATCAGGGAACCCATTAGGAGGCTTTTGATGTCACCATTGTAACAGCAAACACAGCATTTACTGTGTGCCAACCATTGACCTAAGATCTCAAAAACTCTTTGCTTATTTAACCCTCATAGAAACCCTATGAGGTAGGTACTTTTATTATTCCCATTGTAGAGATGAGGAAGTTAGAAAAAGAACAAGTATATGGTAGAGTCAGATTCTTAATTCACGTCTAGTCTATTGCCAACAATAAAAGAAAAACATTGACTGGGGGTATAGTTCAGTGGTAGAGTGTGTACTCAGAATGCATGAAGACCTGGGTTCAATCCCCATCACCAAAAAACAAAGTAGAAGAAGAAGAAAAATATCTTTTAAATTATTATTGAAGATACTGGATTCAATGAACCCATATCCAAAATATCACCACAAAAGCAAATTAATACTGTCATTTTCCCTGGTAGTCTTTTAAACCTTATCCATGTGAATATTTAAACATGAATGTTTAGACATAGAATTTATGTTTTATTTGTATATATAAAATACTAAAATATGAACAAATTATGTAAAATTATAAAGTAATTTTTATGTATAAAATTATGAAATAAAAATTTTATATATAAAAATGTTTAATTCAGTTGATGTTCTACCTTTTCATTTAACATCCTAGTATTCTGTGTTGGTTGTTATCCATTTATTCTATTAGTACCATGTCTAGGTCACTCTACCCTTTTCTGAACCTGCCCAAATCAGTCCTGGGCCTGACCATTATGGACCACAGTAGTGTGTTCCCTAGCTTTCAGGCGTCTAGTTGGATTGGCCAATGGGATGCACCAGCAGAAAAGTTGAAGGTGGGAAGAGAGAGAAATCATTTCCCTTCCTGCCAGTTATATCCTCCTCCTACCAAGCTTCATAGATCCTGTGTGGAGATTCTGTCCATATAGCTGTCACTCCAGGTTCCAACATTATATACCCCTTTAGACCCAGGTAGTTGTAATGGCTCCCTGCTGTTACAACTCTTGGGGACTGGAGAATCCTCTGTTGATTTTCCTAAACACTTCCCACAACTTTGTAAAATATTGTCAGCCCTCTGTATCCACAGGTTCTGTATTCATGCATTCAACCAACCATGGATAGAAAATATTCAAGAAAAAAAAAACTGTGCTTGTGCTGAACGCATGCAGGCTTGTTTCCTTGTCATTATTCCCTAAACAATACAGTACAACAACTATTTACACAGCATTTACATTGTGTTAACCACTATAAATCATCTAGAGATGATTTAAAGTGTGTGGGAGGATATGCAAAGATCTGATACAAATACTGTGTCATTTTATGTAAGAGACTTGAGCTGTCAGAAGATTTTGGTATCTGTGGGGAGTCTGGTAACAAATCCCCCTCAGATACTGAATGATGATTGTAGTCACTTTATTTATTAAGCTTGTCTATTTACGCTGTTTGTGTGTTGTCCTCTATTTCCCTTGGGACCCTCAATGATACATGTACTTATTTTCGCTAGTTAGCAAAAGCTCCTTGATTTGCTTTCTACTTCTCTCTTCTTCCATTCCACCCAATCCACTATCCAGTTCACCTCTGAGATTTCATCTTTTTTTTTTGCACAAAAATGTATCATACCACATACATTTATCTGTAGTGTGCTTTTCCTAATCATGGAAAATTCCTCTAGCTTAATATGTATAGACCTAAGCCATTGTTTATTAGGTATATATGGATATATAGTAATCTTTTAAACACTCTATTAATAGGCATTTTTGTTGTTTTTATGTTTTTGCCTCAAAAAATGTGGTATCTTATTACTTTAATTTTTATTTTCCTGATGACTGTTGAGTTTGAATGAAATATAATCACTTTTTTATACTACAACCCAGGGTAAGTTACATGTATTTTTCACAACAACCCAGCATGCACATACATAATGAACAAAAGTTTCATGAAAGAATGCTTTTGTAACTACTCACGACATTATATATGTAGTTAGATTTGTTTTCTTTTTTCCTTTCTCTCTTCCTCCCTTTATCTCTTCCATTGTTTTTTTCTCTCCTCTCTCCCATCCTCTTTCTTTCTCTTTTGAATGTTGTTTCTGACCCATTAAATTGATTTCCTGACCCACAAAAAGATCACCACACACATTGGGGGTGGAGTTACTTTGCATGGGAGGGTCAAAGATTCACTCTTCCTGCAATCACTTCTTCCCCATTTTATGACTTACCAACTCTGTCAGCTGAGACAGTTACTGAGCCTCAGGTGCTTTAGAGAGAGTGTAAGGTAGAGGTCTGGAACCATAGGGATTTGATTTCAAATGCTTGACTCCATCATCAACTAACTGGGTGACTTTGTACAAATTAGTCAACCTTTCAGGTTTACCCATCTCAAAAATGGAGATAAGAGTATCTCTCCGTTAAGGTTGTTGTAAGGAACTGAGTCAATATACATGAGGCACTTATTGTGATACCTTTCCCATAGTGTGGCTTAAATTAGGTTCTGTCATTGTTTATAAAATGGAAATGCCTTACCTTCCTCAAGTCAGGGTAGTTGGCCCTGAGCAGTCCCTTCCAAGGCTAAGATAGTTTTCTGTGCTTAACAGTAAGCGTTAGAACAGTTATAGGCTGAAAATGTCCCATTAGAAAGAGCCTGTTCTTTAGCAGCAAGCTCTTCCTAATTGTTACTCATTTATGAATTTTACTCATATGGTCCCATCAGTTCTGCTTACTGAGCCTAGAAAGATATCAGTCTTCCAGAGACATTTGGAAGGGACCACTGTGTGTGTGTGTGTGTGTGTGTGTGTGTATAAAGTTGTAGTTGGACACAATACCTTTATTTTATTTATTTATTTTTATATGGTGCTAAGGATTGAACCCAGGGCCTTGCATGTGCTAGGTGAGTGCTGTACCACTTAGCCACAACCCCAGCCCAACAACTTTTTTTAGATCAATTAAAAAGAACTGAAAACAAGTATCAAATGCTACCCAATCAGTATAACCCATAATGAGA